GCTTCTCTTCTCACTTTTGGAATTCTGCTACCACGATGTAAATAAGCCTCAGTTTGCTTGCTGAATGATGACACTTGTGGCTGCATCCTTTCTGAGACCCCAGCTAACAGCAAGCCGGACCTCTGACGTGGGAGTGGGGCCATTCCATTCTTCATAATCCAGCCCTCACTGACCTTACGGCTAAATACAGACGTAGCAGCAACCCTAGCTGAGAGCTGACGGGGCTGGGATACGCAGCCTCGCATGACCGCACAACTGAAAGGGCACCTGAGTTCAAATCCTGATCCCATCCCTTGGTAGATCTGTCACCTTGGGAAAGTCCTTAACAGCCCCCAACCCACATTTCTTCACCTTTAAAAAAAGTAAGAGAACTATCAGAGCTGTGGACGTAACATGCTTGGCCCTGTGTGCCAACAGAAAGTATACCTAACTTATGGTAGTTATTTTTATTCTGAGAAATATGAATTACACTTGATTTATTTTTAAAATCTGAGCTCAAGAAAAAAAAAAAAGCCAAGTTTCCACCAAGAGACAATTTAAGTCAGAATAGCAGTGTCCTACATAATCTTTCTACAATCCTGAAAGTTAAAATTTTTTTTGATCACCTACTTACATGCATTTCACAAAAAATTGACAGGCTTGGAAGTGCAAATTTGATTTGCCTTGGACTGAGGAGTCCTGTGATAGGGACAGAGCTAATCACCTGTGTGTTTGTCTTTTTTTCCTTTTTTATTGAAGTGTAGTTGCTTTACAGTATTGTTTTCAGGTGTACAGCATAGAGATTCAGTGATTTTTTTCTGATTAGATTCCATTATAGGTTATTACAAGATATTCATTGTAATTTCCTGAGCTATACAGTAAATCCTTATTGCTTATCTGTTAGAAGTATGGGATTAGCAGCTACAAACCTGTATGCTTTTAAGAGTGCCACCTGTCTTCCCTGGAACACAGTCTCACCCACATGCCAAAGCGATTGACCCCTTTCCAGCACTCACCTTCTATGACTTCAGTTTGTTAAAGCCTCTTAGAGAATCTACCATAAATATAAGAATAGATAACCTCACCTACAACAATACAGTGTGTAGAAGAGATTAACGACCCTCATATATGCATATATCTTTGGAGACATCAGGCATCTTGGTTGAAGTGAGAGAGGAAGTGTATCTTATTTTAACACCACGATTTGCATTGTCATCTTTGTTTCCATAAAAATCAATCATGTGAGCTATGTACATACCTTAACCTCTTTGCCAGGAAAATCATTAAGTGCTCTGAAACTTTTCTACAGCTGGATCTCTTTAAAAACCTCACAAAAGCAATACATCTACTCCCCAACATCCAAAACTGCACATAGACTTAAACACAACAAAATTTTAAATGGTTCAACAAATCCCCAAAAATCTATCCATAATTTTTGTGGTTACGATTTGCAATTAAAATTTCTACCACTATAAGATGCCCAAGTTACATTCTATAACTATAAGAGACAAGTAATAAATACTTCTAACTTGGCACATTTACATCTGAACTGCTAATCTTCAGTCCCCCAAATTGATCTCTCTGCTCATTTCTCATATTAAGTAAGAAATTTTACTCTTCTTGTTTCTCAAGCCACAAATTGGGAATCAATCAACTCTCTTTTTCTCCCACCTCCTCTTCAAACTCCTGAGAAACCCTGGTGCCCCTACCTTCAGAACATATCCTGAATCTTAGCACTTTTCATCATCTCCACTGGTACAACCGTGGTCCAAACTACCACCATTTTTGCCAAGATTATTGCAAAATCCTACCAGCTGGTCTGTATGCTCATTTCTCTGTAGTCTGTCTTCAATAGTCCATGCAGTCCTTTACAAACACACAAACAAAAAGTAAGTCATGTCACTCCTGCTCTTAAAACAACCCTGCAAATCTATTAATTTATTCTAAGTTAAAGTCAAATTCCATACAGTGGCCTCAAGTTCCTCTATGAGCAAACCCTCTATTACCTACAAGTCCTTATCTCCTAAGACTTGCCCCTTCTCATTCTCTTCCAGCCTTGCTGACTTTCTGTTTCTCAAAAACAGCAGCCCTGCCCCAGCACCAAAGATATTCGACCTGTCTGTTCCCCTGATACACTCTTCCCCAGATACTTGCCAGGCTCACACTCTCAGCTCTCGTAAGTCCCAATCAAATGTCATTTTCTGACATTTCTGCCCATTCTTACCACTCTATTTTAAATTCCATATCCTCTCCCCACCAACCATCCCCATCTTTATTATTCTGCTCAGACCCTGCTCTGCTTTCCACAAGACCTACAGTCATCTTCTAACTCTTGTTTATTAAGTTGTATGTTTTTTCCCCACTAGAATGCATTAACGGAGCAAAAAGATTGCTTTGCTTTGCTGACTGCTGAATCCCGAAGTATAAAACTGTTCCTAACATCCAATTAATATTTCTAAAGTTAATTAATGTTTAATTACTTTTATCTTTTGAGGCTGGTTTTCCCCGAAGTATCATCTACTTCTATCCTAGCTCCAACTGTTCAGGACAAACCTTCAGTCAAGTGGACGCCCCTGGTCAGTGTATGACATCGTCAATATACTAATAAGAAGGGAGAGTAAATAACAGAGAGGACTCATAACCACTAAGATGGGAAGATGGGCTAAAATAATTCCTGAATTTGAAATGAATTGGAATTAAAAAGTGAATAAAATAAATGACAAAAAAGATGTCAGAGCCAGTCATGCTAAAGCATCGCATGTAGAATGACGTCTCAAGTCGTGTGTACCCTGCAGGAACTCTGCTCCCTGCTCCCTTCACTGGAGCACTTAAAATTCTAGGGGAGAGCGTGTCCCTCTAGTACCAGAAAATCAGTACCAAGAAGTGAAGATATGACACTCTAGCAGCTTGGACAGCTCAGAGGACCAGAACCACTAGTCAAAAAGCACATCACCATTTTTGTCCTCTTGTTTTCTCCACTGTGTAAGGACGTATATGATGTCCTAGGGTTAACTACCGGACTGAATTTGAATTCTAGGTGAGGGTTATATATATCATTAATGGAATTCTCTTTAGAAGACTCTGTGTGTGTGTGTGTGTGTGTGTGTGTGTGTGTGTGTGTGTGTGTGTGTGTGTGTGTTTGGCATAAGAATAACCCTTTGAGAGCCAGGTCAGACTGTCTGAGGTCACAACTCAGATCGCAGAGAAGCCAAACCACTTAGCTGCCCCTGAGCCCAGCTACTTACCCTTGGTCAGGAAGGACAATCTGGGAAGTGACACCCTCTGCCCTCTCCTCTGATGTCTTGGGCTGCCCTGTTGGACCCAATATATGTATTTCCTCAGCAGCCCTTTGGGACCCCTCTCACAGAACAGCCCAGAAACAGACATCTCAGTCTCCAAAGACACAATTAAAGTTCATTTGGATTATGGGGATTACATAGTAATTAGGATATGATAAAATGAGGAATATTTCATTAAAAGTGGACTCGCAACGTGGATGTAAGCCACAGTGTAATCATACATGTAGTCACATGTTATCTGATAACAGAAACTCCAAATTGCACTAATTAGACTTTTCTAGGAATTATCTGGTGATCTACAAGGTTTTTCCCTGCCATATGCCTCTGTCTGTCCAGGCTATGCTTCCCTGTCTCACTTTTCAGGAAACTCCTATCAACCCTTGGTGCTACAGCCTCAATTGTAACCCTCCAAAATCCTCATGTCAAAGCCCTAACCTCCAGTGACTTGGGAGGTGACTGCATCTGGGGACAGAGCCTTTACAATGGTAACTGACTTAAAATGAAGTGGTTAGGATGAGCCCTAATCCAATCGGAGTGGTGTCTTTACAAACACAAAAATCGGAAATTTAGACACACAGAGAAATACCAAGGATGCTTGTGTACAGAAAGCAGACCCTGTGAGGATCAAGCCAGAAGGTGGCCGTGTGCGTGCAACGGGGAGAGGCATCAAAAAGGATCAGCGCTGATGGCACCCGGATCTTGGTCATTCAGCCTCCAGAACCGTGAGGAGAAGATTTCCTCTGTTTACGACACCAGCCTGTGGCGTTTTGTTACGGCCGCCTTAGCAAAATGATGTACAGCTTATCAGCACCAGGGCGTTTATGTTGGTTAACTCCACGTTTTACATGTATAGAGACTACTCGAATTAGGAAATGTGACCCATGAACATATTCTTTAATTTTTCATTCAGTCATACATAAAACTGAACAAAGGAATCCAAACATTCATATGACCTTGTATCAATGATTGGTTTCGCTCATAGAGAGTTTCACTCTGAATCCTCTCTTTGATGTAAAGCTTTTTGAAGTCTGTTGCTCTGCTCATCTATCTCTATCTCTATGTCCATTTCTGTCTGTTTCGTAAAGCAGTTCTTCTTTTACCCTTGGTTCTTTTAATTCTTGGTGAAAATATTATTTTATTGGAATCCTGCAGTGACTCTAAAGACGTTTGTTCTTCCCTACATACATTGTCAAGGAAATCTCTGCACTATAGCAAGCAAAAATATGAAAATAAGAAAAGAGAAAATAAATGTATTTTGCAGGGCATTTTACAGTGGGTAGTTCACTTATGACCTCATAAGTACCTCTCCCTCCTAACAAATAACTACGTGCCTCTGGAGCCAGAAGCCCTGGGTTTGCATCCTTGTCTTCCCACCCATGAATTGCTTGATTAGAAGCAAGCCATTTCATCCATCTAAACATGACTGTGATTCCATAACCAGAATTAGAATTCCATATTACAGATTAAAATGTTGTACTTACAAGCAGCTTACAAACGGTCAAGTAATTTTAAAAATTGAAGAAAAAAAAAACCACTTTCAACTTTTCAACTTTCTCAGAATCACAGCACTACAATAGAATCTGTTCCCAGCTAGCATGCATAGCAGTTTTCCGGCAGTTGCTTATTTTATTTATTTCTGAGACCACAATCTCTTATCAATGACATA